GTTTCATTTGTATGTCCAGTGTAGCATCTTTTTCCATATTATTCTTGTAGCCTGTCATTTTCCACTTTCAGATCAGTCTCAGTCTTGTCCAGTAAAACGTGTTCCTCTTCCATAACATTTTTTAAACATAGTCTATCTATAGAGGCAGACACTCTTAATATTAATTTCTGGTCCATTATTCAAAATGTCCAATGTTAAAATATTTTGCTCCAGTCTGTATTATTAAGTCAAATTTGTACTGTTCTTCTCCTTTAATTGTAATCTTTACTTCCTTCTGATTCCCTCTAGTGTCCAACCCTCAAAGTCTCATCCTATCATGTTTCTTTTTTTTAAGAGAATTCAAAACAGAAGCATTTTCCCACAGGAAGGATTTGTTATAATTAATTCCAAAATCTTATTTCAAGTTTATCTGGACCCTTAGTCCATTTATAACTTTCTAAAATCAAAGTTTTAATCACCCTTTTTCTGTTTATTCCAAAAAAAAATTTTTTTTAAGTTCTTAAACTTGCAGTTAAAGCTTCTTTCACTAAGGATTGAAGGAAACTCATCTGGTGCTGTAAAACTTGTCAGTCCAAAGGTTCCTAATAGCCCAAAAGCAGTTACGAAGCAATTTCCAAAAGTGATTAGAAAATGAAGTATGCAAACTTAGTGTCCTTTCAAAGGTGCCAACCATGATTTGAGTAAGATGGTATTATCTCTCAGACCTCTAAACCTACAGAAGACCGCTATCTTGCAGTCTCCTCACAAGGAGCAGCTGTCTGGAGCACTTGTGGGTGATCTCAAGTCTTCTCCTTGTCTGGAGATGAATGATCAAAGAGCTGGTCTATCCATTGGCTCTTCATTCTGCCACAGTCATTGGCTCCACTTTTCAGATCCATCTTCAGTCTGCCATTTCTTCCCCTGGAAGCCCCCAGAGATTAGCTCTTGAATGAGTATTTGGATTTATGATCTATCAAAACTCTGCTAGTGCTCTGAAGTGTGTCTTATTTGTATCTAAGGCAGTGGCTTGCTTCTGGCAGTTTTTCCTTAGAAGAACATTCAGGGAAAGGATACATTCTATGAAAGTCAGGGAAATAACTGAATTCTGCTAAATAAAGTGGTGGATTTTGCACATTTTCTAGAAAAGCAAGATTAAACCCATTTGAAAGGAAGTTTATGTAGCAATAAATAGCTTCATGTTCTGTTTTAGGGTACACCAGGAGATTTTGATGAGGAATTTCTGCAGAAGCCAGTAAGTTGGCTTTTCTTATTCTTTTCCATGTTTATTTTTTCCCATTTCCTGGCACCTGGGTCCCAAGCCAGGTATCAAGGTTGATCTTTCTTCTTTGCAGGGACTCAAGGGTGATCGAGGCATACCAGGTCCTCGTGGAGAGAAGGTGAGAAAAGAGTTTTCCAGACAGGAACCTCAGCATTCATTCTCCAGCATCTGTGAGCTTCACCAAAAGACTTCAGTCTTTGATTCATTCTCAGTGTTAATCTACCTAGATTATTTTTATTTTTCTTTACTAGGGTGGTCCTGGAAGTCCGGGGATACCTGGAGATCCTGGAGAAGATGTAAGTACTTTGGAATATACAATATGGTAATTGCATGACTGCAGAATCTGCAGTGGCATAATAGAAATATAATAACCTGAGTAGGTTTTGGACAGATGAAAAGACGCAGCTGTGAAGTGTTATGATGTAAAAATGAATAATAATTTTTAAAGGGGGATATCCTAATTTAGTTAAATACACTAAAGTATACCTAATATTGAATCCCTTCCTTGAGAGGACTCTCACTGTTGTTTTTTGAATTCCAAAATAGAGTCCAGACTACAATATACTGAGACAACATATTCTCAGTGCTAAACAACTTCTTGTGTTAAAAGGTTTTTACGTATTAAAATTTTACCTCCTGTACTTTTAATAGATTGTTTTCTCTTCTCAGGAGATATGATGGCTACTTGTCTTTCTTTTTGTTCTGATTCTGAAAAATTTCAGGTGCCATTTTCCACCTTTAGTTGGCTATATCAACCTTTGCAAACAGTAATCTATTATATATTTCTGAATATTAATAGGGAGCCAAAGGATCACCTGGGATCAAAGGAGAAAAGGTATTCTGTATTTCTCATACATTTCGTTTCTGATTCTATTGAAAATGTTTGTTTAATCTTTAAAAAGATTAAATAATCCATGTGATGATTAGAGTGTTTATCTTAGTCATTAATTCTAGCGTAGCATTCTGAGACATTCTCAACTCACATCATTCAAAGTATCTACTAGTGCGTAGGAGATCAGCAGTGTAGAGAATACCTATAAAAGAGCACTGAGGAACCTCTGTATTTATTCAAAAGTATGGCATGAAACTGTTGTGTTCTAGAAGAACTACTGGAGTTCTCAGGGAGTGCAGTCTGTAGGGAATGCCCCACCACCACTACTCTGGATTGTTCTCATAATTTACACGTCTATGCATTACATTTTTATTTTTTTCATTGTACCATTTAGGGTTCAGTTGGAATTGGTCTCCAGGGACCTCCTGGACAGGTTGGACCTCAAGGCTTAAAGGTAATTTCTTTTTCTGTCCTATGTTTCCAAAATTGCTCCATTCTTTTCCTTCCCCTTATTTCATGATACACTTCTAACTATTTCAGTACTGTCGGTGATGGACAGCTCCTGCCAAATTAAAGTGGTGGTTCTTCATATTTTCAAGAGATTCCTGAGAGTAATTTCTTAAAACATACAACAATATATTGGAGATTTAATTCTTCTCAGATTATTTTTTTAAAATTTAGAATTGTTTGTTTCAGTATTACATTCTACATCCTATTTATCACATTTCTCTTGGAGTTTTGGTCAAGTTGAGAGGAATTTTCAAATCACTTAATAAAATAATCTTACATTGAAAATGCTCAAAATGGGGAAGTAAATCCACATGTTTGTAGCTCTTCTAAAATGTTTGAGGAACAAAAGAAAGAAGTGCAGCTTCTTAGCTTCTCTGTTCTGGTGCCTGACACCATGTGTTGTGATTTATTTTCAGGGAGACCCTGGTTTACCTGGCCCACCAGGCCCACCTGGTTTGCTGGGTGTGGCCGGAACTCCTGGCCAGCCTGGTCTGAGAGGAGAAAATGGAATGGTTGGCCAACCTGGACCTCCAGGAGACAGGGTAAGGGAGATAACTGCTGTTGTCATTCAATCCCTTAGCCTGGTGTCTTCTCAAAATAAATGAATAACAACCTCTAGAATCCACATTAAATTAATATTCCATCACTGATTATTCCCCTTTTTTATGACACTTTGTATTGCCCTCTCATTCTGGATTTCTCCATAATGAGTAGATTTATTCTTTCTCTGAGCAGTTCAGCCTATGTCTAAAGACAAATGTCACATTATTTAAAGCTGTGGTTCACTGGATTTTACAGAGATGAGAAAGCCTATGTTCTTGGGCCAAATGCTGAACTCTGGACCTTTTATTCTATTCCTCTAGTCTTCGGCCCATTCTGTCCTCATCTTTAAAGCTGAAGAAGCTAACCTTGCATAACTGATGGAAAGAGAATGCCTGATGTAAATGACTTTTTTTCATAATATACATTTATATCTTCCCTATATTGAAGTATGGACCACCAGTATATAACTCTACTTAAACAACTGGAATGCAGACTCTAGTAGTTTTCATTGGGAGTAACATGAACAAGGATTCCCCACTTCAGGCTTAATCTTCTGGGTTGACAGATATTTTCTTTATTAGGGTTTGATTGGCTTCCCTGGGAGAGATGGTACTGCAGGATCACCAGGACCTCCAGGACCTCCAGGGTCACCAGTAAGTAACTAGGTGGTTGGAAAGTAGGTTATGAGGACTGTATGTATAATCTGAATCATATCCTCTATGTTGCATTACTACATGTACATGTTCTTGTGCTATCTGAAATATTAATCTATTTTTATTATTCCCTTCTGTTTCCTCTCCTCATAATCGCTTTGTCGTAGGGTTCCTCAGGCACCCCAGGAATAAAGGGTGACAAGGTAAGCACATTTGTTTCTCTGAAATAGCTTACTTCCCCTTTTTTGTATATTTTCATTTTTTGCTCATTCTACAAACAATCATTCCTTGGATTCACTATTAATAAAAGGATTCACTATTAATAAAAGAAGTTTTAACCCCCAAAATATAAAGAGATGAAAGGAATTATAAAGAGCTTCTACTTCCAACATTTGATTAGTGTAGAGCTATTTCTTCTCTTTTTTTCTTAGATCATTTGATGCTTATAAAGCTTATGTACCTAAAAATAATTTTTAAAAGATGCTAGAAATAGCAGCAGGATTCACTGATAGGGTTTCCTTTTCTCATCTTTCTGCTTTTTAGGGGGACACAGGTATTGGACAACCAGGACCTAGAGGAGAACGAGGAGATCCAGGACCTCGGGTAGGTATTTTAATCTGACTCTGGAACTTCCTTAACTTCATTAGCCAGGTGTAGTGATATTGTGGGCTATGGGTCTGTAAAATATTTTGCTTTGAATTACTTTGAGTGCAAAACTTCATGAAACTCCCCATTTCAAATTTGAAGCTGCTGATTCAAGTGCAAGACAGGCTTTTTTGAGATTGAGATGGAGCTGTTCCAAAGTCTAAAACACTGTTTTGAGCTCTGAAGACTTCTTAAGATGCTCAAGGCAGTTTGTTTCTCACTCAAAAGAGCAGTTTCAAACTGAAAAAGAGAGACTTTGACAAAATCATATGCCCAAAGCCCAAAAGTTTGAAACAAGATGTTTTGCACACTCTTATAGAAGAATTCTAACCATATTTGACCAATAACAAAAGATGAGTGCATAGAACTAACTGTGCAAGGTTTTGCATGGTTTGAAGCAGAAAATATTCAGCAGTACTGTAGCATCTGGTTTTTCCTCCTATGAAGGCAAAGGGTAGATATCTAGATTTTTTAGGTTAAGATTGGTTAGAGATTCTACCTATCAATTTCTTTTTAGCAAATAAATTATTATTATTATTATTATTATTATTATTATTATTATTATTCGAATATGCAGAAACCATACTTTATAAGAGTATTTCTCATCCAAAAAAGTACAGCAAAGTTTAAAATTTTGGAATGAAATACAAATGTTGATATGGCATTTTGGGATTTATCAGCTGGCTGAGTGTTATGGAAAATTCCCAGCTTTGGCTTGATCTATGATTGCAACCTTCTTCTGTCTCCTTCCTGCCCCTATTATTCTTTCTTTTGTTCTATGTAAATGTTCTATTTTGTCCTTCCTCAGGGTGAAGATGGGCGCCCAGGTCTGGAAGGAGATCGCGGGGCTGCAGTAAATATTCATTCATTTTCATTTTCATTTTCATGGACTCTCCTTTCCCTTTTTTAGAAATGTTTTTAAATTGATGTTTTATGTATTTATATATATTTATGTTTTTAACGTTTGGTGTGAGTCGCCCAGAGTTCCCCCATTGGGGGGGGGTGGGCCGGCGGCCACTTAATTAATTAAT